AATCACAAGTCACGCAGTCCCAGGTCAACAGGAAGTAAAAAAAATTGAGCCACCAGACGACGCAATAGTTTATAAACTTCGTTCAGTGCACTGCTTTGAAGATGGCTTGTGACGATGCAGTTTCGCTGGCGTTGAAGAAACTTGGGTATGAAAGTATTCGACTAATCCAGCGACAAGTCATTGATGGCTATTTGCAGAAGAAAGATGTTTTTCTCACAGCGCCGACTGGCAGTGGCAAGTCGCTGACTTATGAAATGGCGCCATTCCTGCTGGATAGTATCGGTGACTTTGCCGACGAACCATCATCCATTATTTTGATTGTATCGCCACTGGTCGCCCTGATGCACTCTTCCTTTGTTTAAAATTAGATAACTCGCGTTCGCAACTTGTAGTTCTGGATAATACTTGGCAGAAAACGATCTATACTCGGCGAGACGATCAAAGTCATGCGTGACATAAAAAAAAACCGCGATTTGACCTTTGCATAACAGTTTAACTCCACCCATATGCAAATTATTACTACGTCATCGAGATGCATGCATAATTAATAGCAAGGCCAGTCCTGCAGGCTATAGAGGCTTTGCAGTGACGTCACAAAAATCACTAGGCCGCCATGTTGGATTACAAACAAACCATACGCAACGAAAGCCACGGGGAGGGTGTGGGGTTCTGTTATTATTACATATGTTCCATAGGAAACTTTTGTAAGGGATAATCATGATAATATGCTTGAAATGAAATCAAATTACTATCCGTATATGAAGTAAGTAGATTTAACCTACCACTGACGAAATGATCAGAGCAGACACGAATGTATGGAAGATTTGACTATTATGTACTGCAGTTTATTTTGATTCGTCCCTGAAATCAAAATCGGTATTTCCACAACCCATATGCAAATGAGGTCCGAGAGCAAACAAAGTACATGTAGTCCCTTCAGGAGTACAGTTTTTCGGAATAAACAATATTTAGAAGTACGATATTTTCCCCTTGGGGTACATGA